TGACTTCTTCAAGAAATGGGTGATTTTCCTTAAATATGAAGGGTAATAGAAAAGATTCGATGTGTATTCGTCTAAAATGACGAACCCTTCGATGCTCGAGGGCGGCCGAATAGACTAGACAGCAATTGAGATCTTGTAACATTGGACACGCGTCCAAGATCTTCTGCACGATTCTTTCCTCGGAAAACGAGGTGTTTGATGGGTCCACATCTCGTACATTTGGCAATGGTAGTAGTCGAGTCCACAAGTCGTCGAGATTAGAAACAATAGGTGCATCATTGTCCCACAATTCGGGATATCCACCTCCATGTATACAATTGGCACTCTTTCTTGAGTGAGGGATACGAGCAGAATTCGATTCGTCTAGGTCAAGTGGCTTGCAAAGTTCTGAGCTCTGCAGAAACTATGGTGACGACATGGTTCGACATAATTCTGTGTTCACGATACTTTAGTGGTCACGATGAAGGGTGGCCTCAACTCAGACGAGTGCATGGGATCGTAGCAGATATCTATACACCTCCAGATTGTATACAGCAAATACCACCTTCAGTACAGCGAATCGATATATCTAGCTTTGGGAAGCAATGGAACCACATCTCCGCTCCTGAGGTACAAGAACTCCGAATTCTTGATGTCAAAAGGGACTGGTACAACATCGAAGAAACAGAGCAAGAACAGGCATATGCTTTTGACCACTCTCAATGGCCAAATCTAAAGGTTCTAGGAATCTGGAGTAGATCGCCTATAAACCATGTAGCTTCGATGTCGTCTATAACTCATCTAGAGTTGGGGGTCCGATTGGACGATATAAACCCTCTACTTTACTTGGATCGACCAATGATGACCGTTTGTTGGCACTTGGCAAGAGATCCGACACAATTTCCCAACCTCCGTTCGATAGATATGAAGGAGATACCAGAATGGGATATCTTATTCATCATGCTCGAGCGACGTAATATTCATTACCAGGGCAAAGCCGCCTCTATTCAGAAGATAGAGCTACCCTGTTATCCGCGCGCCTTCTTTAAACCTATAAAGGACCTCTTGTGTGGAAAGTTTACAAAGCGTCCATCAAATTATAGTATATCTTTGGCGGCAAATCTACAAATCTTGACAGATGGTTCGATGTGAGTATATATTTTGGACCAACATCAAGAAATTGTTAATTTCACCACCGTTCCAGTCCAGGGTGCACTTATTGCCTGAAGGCACTCATAAATTGCAGTGTGGAGTTGCGACATATCAAACATTTCGCCCAGTTTGATCTTATTCAAGATGGACATATGGTTTATCCCTCCACGGATGACGAAATCCTGGCGACATGGCCGGATCGTACCAAGACCTGGGCTGAGAAATGGTTCCCCATTCTTCTACAGGGTCGGAGGTTGAGATGTAACCGTCACTACTACAAGCCTAGGATAGCAATCACACCAGAGTCATGCGCAGGTACGTGATAGACCATAGCCGTTGCCAAGATGTAGAGCTCTGATGCGTTCAATAGATCATTCTGAGCCCTACTACACCTTTATGGCAGAAAGATAGATAACGAGGAGACTATAGATTAAGAAATACTGTTTCGAATCCAAGATTATGAAAAGTCAACCAGTTGGTCAATGGCCCTTAGTTCCACCTGCCTGGAGCTAGACGAATAAACTGAACCGAGCCTTGTATGTAGAATTATTGAATGTTCACTATATTCACAACAGCTGTGAATCTGAGACAAGGTTCATGGACAGGGATCGGAGAACTTGCCAGGCTCCTCAAGCTTGCAAACCACGAGTCTATGATTACGACATTGACGCCCAATCACCACGAATTGATCGACATTTGTTTACAGTATTGAAATTCCTGTCAAAAAATTATACTATTACACCATCTTTTTGCCACCCACCCATGTCTCTTCTACCTTCAACGATCCCAGCATTTCCGGATCAACACTCCGCAGATCTTTATCCAAAATGACCAAATCTGCATCTTTGCCCACTTCCAATGTCCCCACACAATCCGCAATACCAATTTGGCGGGCCGGGTTGATGGTCACACCCTTGAGCGCGGTCCATAAATCCACACATTCCCCTTCATTCAACACTCCCTTTTCATCGGGGTACATGTGCCTCGTCACCGCAATACGAAGGTACTCGAGGGGAGAGACCTCTGTGAGCGGCGAGTCGCTGTGGAACGAAAAGACGAGACCGGTAGCCTCGTCCGACTTGACCGCATCTATCATCATCGCACGTTCTTTTCCCAACACGTAGTCGCAAAATGTGGGGCCCCAGTACCTCACGTGTCCGATCGTATGACTGATCCCCAAGCCGAGCTCTTTAGCCCGGTCGCGTTGAGCCTGTTCTGCGACTGTGAAATGTTCGATACGGTGCATAATACTCTGGTCTCGATTTGGATTGTTCTTGAATATGGCATCGTAGACGTTGAGCGCTTGGTCGACGGCGCGATCCCCATTCGCATGTACGAGGAGTTGCCATCCAGCTCGTAACCACGGCTCCATCACCTGTTGCAGCTCTTCGTCGTGTTTATAGTTGAGCGTTCCACACTCTGGCCAGTGAGGTGGGGGGCACAGGTAGGGTTTATTGAGGGCGGCGGTGAACCCCTGTGTCGAGCCATCCACCCAATACTTGATCGCCGTCACAGTCGCATTACCCAGCTGAATAGGTCGCTCCTTGATAATAGGAATGAGAGGTGGGGTGGCGACGTATATCGAGAGGGCACCATAAAACCGAAGTGGCATCGGGTTCTTGAAAACGGCTTGAATAAAGGAGACCTCGTTCGGACCCGACCCTCCTATACCCGCATCAAAAACGGTCGTGCACCCTTTTTTCGCCCACTTTTTGACAGTCTCGATCCCGAATTCGACCATCTGCTCCGGGCTAGGTTTATTCACCAACTGCCCGATAGCCCCTACGGCCTGCTCAAAGATGACGCCGGTCAACTTGCCATCCACCACTTCATACTGTTTATCTCCCTTGATACTATCCACCGTCACCCCCGCCAGCTCGAACGCTTTCGAGTTGACATAGGCCACATGCCCAGATTGATTGAGGATAAACACGGGGTGTCCATACGCGACATCATGTGGGTCCAAATCCGTAACGTGTAAATCGCGGTGACACTTTATACGTGAAGGATCGTACCCGTAGCCAGCGACCCACAACCATTTCCCCTCTTTATCTTTTAGTGCCAAGTCTTGAGCCTTGGCCCGAATCTTGGCGACTGCTTGGTCGAGGGTGGTAGTGGTCATGGGGGATAGAGAGAGGAGCCAGTGGTCCGCAAGAGCCGTCAATGCGAGATGAAGATGTGGCTCGATGAATCCGGGCAACACACATCGACCTTGCAAGTCGACGCTTTGTGCGTTGGGTCCTGCGATCTGTCGAGCGGTGTCGAGGGCACCCGTAAACTTGATCTTTTGGCCTTGAACGACAAGTGCCTCGACGGGAGAATAGGCGTCATTGGCGAGCGTCAAGATCGTGCCATTGTAAAACGTGATAGTTGCGTTTGGATCAACAGCGTCGGTAGATGATGATGGTACTGTGGAAGAGGCAAAGTTCACGTCGCTGAGCAATAGACGACCGAGTCTTGCTGCACTCGGCTGGCACGAATGGCACATTGTAGCGAAATCAGCGACAAACTGATATGGGAATTTCAAGAGGACTGGTCACAACCTCCATTTCTAAACTCTATTCACCAAACTGCTGATATCATATATATTCAATATGATTGTAAAGCCCTAAGCTACAGAATATAAACAAGTTTGAATGCGGTGAGAAAGCGTGGGATAAAAAACGCGTGTGTAATGTCCAAGAGTGGGAGGAAAGAAGAGACCGCGCGGGTCCAGTCGACAAGGCGATGAGGGACACAGAGCGGCCATGCTTCCCATAGTGTGGGAAGTAACCATCACATTAGAACAAGAGGTAGGTGATGGGAGCAACTGCCAATAACGAAGACTACACAGGCGTCAACAAGAGCGAAAAAATGAAAATAAAAGCAACACGTACGACGACGCCAATCGAGCGGGTCAGGGCAGCATTGCTCGAGCTATTGCCATTATTGTTATTGTTTCCATTACCCGTGCTTCCATTCGCATTCCCGTTCGATCCCAACCTGACCTGAGCAGCCTGCGCGTCCGTAGGATCCCAAACAGGTCCAGGGACGGGCTGAGTAGCATACGGTGGAATGTTGATTCCAGACGTATCCACACTCGAGATGCCCTGCGAGTTGTAGTTGCTGCCACAGTTGGCTTGCCAATCGCTCTCACCGAGCCATCCGTCGATACTGTACACGCCCTCTTGGCACCACGAGCAAGCGGCCATGAGCGAGTAGGCGATATGGCTGCATTGGCAATTGTTTGCGCCTGAACCAGTGGGGGCGGGGTAGAATGTAGAGTTGAAGCCGTTGGCAGCGGTGCCGGGTTCGAGCGCGGTGACGGTGAAGGAGGCGTCACATTTTTGGCCGAGGGCTTGCCAGATCTGGCATGGGTTTTGGTTGTCGCCGTTGTTTGCCCAGCTGAGCGAGTGAGTGTGTGTGTGTGTCGATAGGTGGGCGAAACAAAAAGTTTGACAAAGCGGAGACCAGCACGGGTACCGTCGGGTAGGAAAGAAAACCACAACTCGTCAGCGTACGCACAAAAACATCACCAGACTTGTATTCTCACCTTGCGTAGACACAGTTGGGGGCAGATTGCGCGCTGACGGTGGCCGACAGAGCGGAGACGACGAAAAGGGCAGTCGCAGTCGTGAAAGAGACCATCGTTACGAGTGATATTGTAGCGTGTACGACGACAACGACGACGACGAGAAAGGTAAACTAGCGGGGTAGTTGGAGGTAAAGATGCGACGCAGGTTGTTTGCGCGTTTTATATGGGCAGACGTGAGACCCGGGACAAAGCCTATGTGGGACAAGTGACAGGAGGCGATGGACAAAGCAACGCCTCCCAAGGCCGAGCATCCACAAAGCAAGCCCAGCGCTATTCAATTCACTCGGCGCTTCCCTCGTCTAAACTAAGCCATCACAGCCACGCCATTTTCCAGCAAATATTATTTACATGCACTGCCTCGAGAGCCCAGACGATCCCTCGACGGTGAGAAAAGCAAAGGCTAACACGGCTGCACTGCTACGCTAGGCGCGAGAAAGACGTGGATACGAGAATATGAAAGCACGAAACTGCTCGTTTTGTGCATTCCTAGTTTAGTCTCAAATTAGATCAACGACACTGAATTTGTCGAAAGCTCACCACTGCCGCCACTTTTCCTTCTCTTCAGGCCCCATCCTCTTGATGTAATCTGTACATGATTCGCCCCTAGCGTCCTCCAAGATGATCGAGCCCAGAGATTCGATTTGCGCATTCGTTGGGGAAATCCTTTCGAGGTATCCCATACCTCGTTGACACGAAAGGTACGAAGTCCTGGCCAGTCCAACTGCCATTGGGGCACAAATTTCGACCATGGATAGAAAGTATCGCGTATGAGGATCCAACTGTCGTTCAACGAGATGGTGTGAAGAGGGTGGCCATCCGGAGGTCCAGACGGCATCCCTCCATCGTAACACAAGTCCTCAACCTTGGGACAGAGGCTCCAAAACTCGCTTGGTAAGCCTTTAGATGTACATTCTTCGTCATCCTCAGGCAAACGAACCCTTCTTAGTTCCTTACCGAGCGCCCTGATGAGCGGTAGCCACGCCGGCTCGTCGTACGTATAGAGTCCCCCATAGTAAGCATCAAGGACCCAGAGATTCCTAAGAGCGGGCAGGTACACATTGTCCAAAACTGAGGCGAAAGACGGATCTGGAGGAGTAAAGTCAAGAGTCAGTGTAGTCAACGTGGCCGACCTGTATGCCTCGACGCCAAATTCACTTCGAACGTATAAATGGCAAAGGTTTGTCGACGACGCGGTTATGTCGAGGGACATCGCACCGATGAAATCATTTCCTGTGATGCGTGCCAGATTGGGACATATATGTGGCAAAATGAATTTATCAACGTATTCTCCTATATTGAGATCCAGGACTTCGACTTTAGGGAGTTGATTTTGTCCAAGGGTTTCATAACAGTATTGAAGATAAGGGTCGTCTAAATTATACCTGACCTCGTTGAGTAGAGGTTCTTGGGGCTTGCAGGATCGACAGAATGCCGCACTATGTTGATCGACCAAGATCCGTACCGCGGACTGCAGATACTGAGCCGCCATGCACAATATCGCTCATGTGCACGAACCGGTGGGTGTACTTGCGTAGATATTCGTCCCATAATCTGCAAACCCGCCGAAGTGAGTTTATATTCTCCTCTACTTTGAGATAGCCCTCGAAATCTCGCCCACAGTCCACACGTTCCATGATAACCCAAGGCGGATAGTCGTCAACCCAGTAGTTCGGGTCAAGGAATTCGGGTGCTGCGACTGCGTATCGTAGGATCCATTGCTGAAGTTCGACAGGAAGCATGGCAGGAGATTGGCAATGATGTGCGACGCGCAAGGGTTGTGGTGGGATCCAACTTTGACACTACACATACAAGCCTGCAATTTTTCGCATCAAGAGGCTATTCGCTATGGACCCACTGACGACTCATAACGAGTACTCTTCAACCAAATCCTACCTGGTGCCTATACGCCCACTCGCTGAGGATGGGAGAGCTGAGACGACACAGTTTGTCTGAAGTCGAGAGGAACATCACATCACTATCGACCTTGGTCTATCTATAGATAATGGGATGTAATGGTTTGATAGCATTTCATGAGATACGATGAACATGGGAGAACACAAAGATAGCATTCGTCTCTCCGTTGAGGTGTTCAACGGCTTTCGAGAAGCTACTGGGCTTCGATTTGCTCATTCCTAATTTATTTTCGAATCAGATCGCCTGCTAGGATACTGAATTTGTCGAAAGCTCACCACTGCCGCCACAATTCCTTCTCCTCAGGTCCCATTCTTTCGATGTAATCTGTACATGGTTCGCCCCTAGCGTCCTCCAAGGTGATCAAACCTAGCGATTTCAGTTGCGCATTCGTTGGGAGATTCTGATACGCTTTCAAGGTACTCCATACCTCATTCACACGAAAGGTACGCAGTCCTGGCCAGTCCGACTGCCATTTGGGCACAAATTTCGACCACGGATATAAATTTGAATCGCGCATGCGGAACCAATTCGCATCCAACAAAACGGTGTGAAGAGGGTGGCCCTCTGGAGGTCCGTACGGCATTCCCCCTTCATAATCTAAGTCCTCGACCTTGGGACAAAGACTCCAAAATTCC